TTTTTTTGAGACAGGGTCTCACTATGTTGTTGAGACTGACCTGGAGCTCACTATGTAGCCCAGGCTGGTCTCGAACTCACAGCAATCCTCCTGCCTCAGCCTCCCAAGTGCTGGGATTACAGGCGTGTGCCACCATGCCTGGCTAGAATCCTGCTTTTAAAAGTCTCACCACCTCCCAACACCACCAGGGACCAAACTTCCAGGACATGAACCTTTGTAAAGCATAATCAAACCGTAGCAAGCTCACTGTAGAACTTTTGAAGACATTTGACTTACTAAACTGAAAGAAAGGATGGGGTCTGAGTACTTATTGAAAGAGCATTTCTTCCTGAACAGTATATCAGACTGGTGTGAAAAGGAAGTTGGGCAGCAACAATAAGGCTGTTTCCTCAACTTGGGCAGGAACCCCTTTGGTGAGTATGTGCCCTACTAGGGTCATAAGAGCAATGGAGAAGCTTTGCCATGACATGCCATACCCGTCTTTAGTGCTTTCTTTGGAAATGCTAGCAGGGTCTCTTTTAACCAATCTTATTCTCTAATAGTACAGTTATAAGCCATGAAAATGTGTGAGTCACTCCCTTCACCCATTTGGTTTTGAGCAGCGTCCTATGGTCATTCCTGCTTCCGTTGTCCTAAGAAAGGTAGAAAATAAAATAACAAAATCCCAGTATATCTCCAATGCTCTTAAGTGAGAGGACATGCACATTGGATCTCCTAGCCTGACCTTCAGTCACCTTCACCCTACTCCCACCTTATTAAGGATTCATAAATATGTACTACATGTCATTCATTAAGATCAGAATGAATTCTGGGACAAGTATGAGTGTTGAGAGCCCCTTAGATGACTCAGCACCCTGTCAGTCATTACTGTCAATCACATCTAGAAGTTTGGGGCGGGGGAGGTACCTGGGCTGAGGTGCAAATCCTTTAAATTCCAAAACCCTGATTAATCAGTGTGCTGTTGCTATTTCTGTGTGTTATGACCTGTGTTCAGTGCTTTTGCTTTCTGCCACCCTGGCACCTTTTCTGTCTGTGCCTTATCTTTTGTAGGCACAGACTTGCCCTAAGCACAGCTTCCCATGATCGTCAATAAATATAGCCGCTTGCCACTTGCTGCTGGATATACACTTAGCAATTCTATAGTCCACAAAAGCCTGGACTGTATCAACTCATTCCACTTAAAATTAATATTTAAAATTCTATAGGTACCTGTCACTCCTCTATTTCCTCTACAGTAATAATGGTCACCATTTATTAATGAGCCCCCATCTGCCAGGTATTTACATCTTTTCTTTCTCATCCTTACCAGAGCCTTGAATGGCAGTTATTTTACATGTGAGGAAACAATCTCCAATAGGCAGAGTTTTTGATCCATAGTCACACAGGAAATGGCAAAACTAGGATTCAAAGCCTGCTCTTCCTTAGTCCAGTGCCTGGCTTTGAGTGGGGGCTTCCTGGAACCTGCCTCCCTGTTGTTCCCTCATGTTTCCTGTCCACAGATGGCCTACATCCAGATCTTTGACTTCTCTTACTGCTGTGAATGACTGTAGGTATGTGCCTAAATAGAGCAGCACCTCATGAAAGGCTGCTTTGTCTTTTTCAAAACTTGTTTAGGGAGCGCTGCGAAGAGCTTCGTAATGAATTGTTTTGCAACCATCAGAAGAAGGTGTGTGAGGAGCGGAAAGCACAGATTGCATTTAATGAGGAGCAGAAGAGGCAAAACATGATAGAAGAGCAGATGTTTGCAAGGCTCTGGGAGGAGGACCGCTTAGCCAAAGAAAAGCGAGAAGCCCAACGGGAGAGGAGACAGAAGGAGCTGATAGAGAACACACGTCTGGGGCTGAATGCCCAGGTCACCAGCATCCAGGCCCAAAGGCAGGCAGCGCAGCAGCTGAAGGAAGAGGAGGCGCGTCTGCTGGTGGGCATTTTCCTGTCCTGGAGATGGGGTGATGGCCCTTGTACAACTTACAAGCTTGTTACTATACAGTTTTCCTAAGGGCCTGGGAAGGTTTTCAGGGAGTACATTTCCATTATTTGGACTCTTAATGCTGTTTAATAATGTATAAAAATATGTGTGGTATGACTGAAATACAGAGTGTTTAAATTTTCAAAATTTTATTTCAGTAAAAGATATTGCCATTAATAACACTCAAAGTACTTCTTGCTTCAGACACACTTACCCATCATTCCTGTCACTTTCTAAAGCAGTTCTGAAAATCTTGTTTCATGAATATCTTTATGAGGGGTGACCAAAAAATTTGGTGAATGATGCTGCCTGGTGCCACCCAACGGTAAGGCAGCCTCATAAAAATATTATGGTGAGTTCTCAATTATCTTATTCCCTGGATCTGGTACTGTGCAACTTCTTGCTGTTCCCCAAAGTCAAAATGACCAGGAAAGGTAACATTTTGAATCAGTTCGGTACGCTGAAGCAGCCGTGACAATGCAACTAAAGACACTGTAGAAAAGGGAATTCCAGAACTGCTTCAGAAAGTGGCAAGAACAATGGGATAGGTGTGTTGGAAGCAAGGGGGAGTATATTGAGGAGGGTTAAAAGCAATGTATCTTTTACTGTATTACATTTTTAAAAATTTAAACATCTACCATATTTTCACTCACACCTACAGTTGTGCACATGTGCATAGATACACAAAGACTGGAAGGCCAGCACGCCAGAGTACTGAGAGTAGTGGTAGGTGATAAGTACTGAAATTAAAGGAGATTTCTCTTTATACTTTTTTGCATTTTCAGACTTCACAGTTGCTTATTACCTTATAATCACATATAGATGCAGCAATTCTCAGAAACTTTATTGATGATTGTGCCATGAAAAGACAGGTTTTATTTCTTATAGCACCTTTGAATTTAGGGATGTGTGCATGTGTGTAATTTCCAAGAAATCCCTTAGTCTCATTTCTTATAGCAAATGCACTGACTTACTGGATTTGTCTTACTGTACTGCTTGATGCATTATCTTTATTATTGTTCAACCTTAGGAAAAGGACAATGCACAGGTTAAACTTGAACATGAACAAGAAAAGCTAAAGAAACAAAAGGCAAAACAGGAAGTTAGAAGCGTCTTACAAAAGATCTTACAAGAGAAGATGGAATATATTCAGCAGGAATACAGAGAAGAGCAGGATCTGAACATGAAACTTGTGCAAAGGGCCCTTCAAGATTTACAGGAAGAGACAGATAAAAAGAAGCAAAAAAGAGTAAGACATTTATTTAGTGCATATTAAGTGCTGGACAGGAGTTCCTGTTGAGTTCTCAGTCATGTGGAAAATGGTCTATAATGGTTCTGGTCTGAGTACCATGAGCCAGCAGGGCTAGGGCCCCCTGAAGGAGACTGGATGCAAATCCACAGGCTCCAGAGTCAGAATCTCCAAATTAAACTTTGTCAGGAACATGAAAGCTGTGTTTTAACAAGCAATACTGGGTGATACTCATGCTCTCAAGAAGTTTGAGAACTCCTGGAATTTGGGAAGACCTCACTGAGAAAGTAGCATTTGAGTTGAAACTTACGGAATATATAGTCTTAGAGTCAAGTAAAGAGATTAGGGAAAGGCATTTTGTATTTATTTAGCTACTTAGAGCTTTGGAATTTGTACTGAACTTTGAAAAGTTTTGTGCTTTTCCTACAGTTGCTTTGTTTTTTGGTTTTGTTTTTGGAGTTTTTTGTTTTATTTGGTTTTTGGGGGTGGTCTTGAATCTTGTATACAGGGCCTCCAGATGCTTAAAGCACACTATTTCACTGAGTCCACCTTAGTCCCTATTTTTCAATGAAACTTTTTTTTCAGATAATTATAGATTCACATGCTGTTTTAAGAAATAACCATAATGTCTTGCAAAACTCTAGTACAGTATCAAGGTTGGAATATTGACATTGATCCATTCAAAATATAGGACATTTCTATCACCACAAGGATGTCCCATGTAGTAGTCACACTCTTGCCTCATCCTCTCCTTAATTAGCCCTTTGCAGACAATAGCCTTTTATATTTTTGATAGTTTTATTGCAAGAAGGTTACATAAAAGAAAGAATATAGTATATAATCTTTTGGGATTGACATTTTTCATTTCACATAACCTTGGAGATTTATGCTAGCTATTATATCTCTCCATACTTTATTTCTTTTTATTCTTGAGTAGGACTCATAGTATAAATTTACTATAAATTGTTTATCCACTCTCCTGTTGAAGGATATTTCTATTGCTTCCAGTCTATAACTATTTTGAGTACAACTACTATGAACATTTGACTATAGGTTTTTGTGTGGACACAAATTTTCAGTTTTGGGATAAGTGCCCAGAAGTATAATTGCTAGGTCATATGGTATTAGAATATTTTATAAAGAAACTGAATGGGCTGGGGTGTGGGATGTGACTAAGTGGCAAAGCACAGTGTTTTGTTTTCATTGTAAGCCCCTGGATTTAATCTCCAACAGAGAATGGTACAGGGGAGGGAAGGAGAGAGGAAGGGAGGAAAGGAGGGAAGGGAGGGAGAGATGAAGGAAGGAAGGAAAAGAAAGGAAGGAAACTGTAAAATTGTTTTGCAGGATAGTTGTACTTCCCACCAGCAATGCAAGAGCCATCTAGTTTCTCCACATTCTTTTTATTTATTTATTTTTTTGTACTAGTGAAAGAACTCAGGTCCTTGAACAGTTTCTCCACATTCTGATTAGCATTTGATGTTGTAACTATTTTTACTCTATCCTGAAAGATGCGTAGTGATATCTTTATTCTGGTAGATGTATAGTGATATCTCATTATGGCTTTAGTTTGCATTCCTTTAATGTCAAATGGTGCTGAAATTTTTCTGTGTGCTTATCTGCCATTTGTGTATGGTCTTCAGTGCAATATCTTTTGCCCATTTACTAATTGGCTTGCTTGTTTGATTTTTATTGCATTTTTGTTTTCAATGAAATCATTTTCTCTTGAGAGTGTAATTTTTAAAATATGATTCCTATAACATACAGCTCACTCAAAGTGCACAGTTCAGTGGAATTTGGTATATTTATAGATAATGTGCAGCCATCACCACGGTCTGTTTTAGAATATTTTAGCTGATTTAGCTGATCCTTCTGCTTACCTACTCTGAACACCAGTCCGAAGTAACTGCTGACCTACTTTCTGTATATAGATTCTTCTGTCCTGGATTTTCATGTGAATAAATCATATGTTATGTGACCTTTTCATTGGTTTCCTTTACTTAGCATAGTGTTTTCAAGGTTTATCCATATCGTAACATGTATCGTTTTATTCATTCCTTATTTGGCTTTTTTTTTTGGTACTGAGGATTGAACTCAGGTCCTTGCACTTGTGAGGCAGCCAGTGGCACCACTGTGCTAAATCCCCAGCCCTTATTTGCTTTATAGTATTCCATTATATGGATATATCATGTTTTATTTACCCTATGAGCATTTGGGTTGCTTTCACTTTTGGTTTATTATGAATAATGCTGCTGTGAACGTTCATTTACATTTTTTACATAGATGTATTCTTTCATTTATTTTGGGCATATATCCTGGAGTAGAATTATGGGGTCATAAGGTAACTCTTTTTAAACTTTTTGGTAATTGCCAAACTATCTTCTAAAATGGTAATACCATTTTACATTCTTACCAGCAGAGCATAAGGATTTCAATTTTTCCACATGCTTACCAACATTTGTTTCTGCCTTTTTCTTGTTGTTTTACCCATCCTAATATATCTGAAGTGATACCTCATAATGGTTTTGATTTACATTTCCCTAAAACTAATGATGTTGAACCTCCTTCCCTAAGCTGTTTGGCTATTTATATATCTTCCTTGGAGAACTCTGTCTCAAGTCTATTGCAGTACTTTGCCCATTTTTTAGTTGCTTAATTGTCTTTTATTATTTAGATGAACTCATGGCAGGCTCATGCATACCTATAGTTTCAGGAGCACAAGGCAGGAGAATCACAAATTTGAGCCCAACTTGGACAAGTTAGTGAGACTTTGTCTCAAAATAAAAAGGACTGAGGTTGTACCTCACTGAGAGAATACTTGCCTCACATGCATGAGGCCCTGAGTTCAACCTCCAGTACATTAAAAAAGAAAAAAAAAACAGATAAATTCATGTTATTGGATCATTGCTGTTACTTGGCACTATTCAGCTAAAAATAACTGCATAATGTCAAAAAATTTTTTTTACCTCTTCTGCACATTTTACTCACCTGGAAAACTTGAAAATTATCTATTAAATTGAAGGCTCTGGGGATGAGACTGTCTCAGTGCTGTTTTTTTGTTTTTTGTTTTTTTTTTCTTTCTAAGTGGTGGGGATAAAACCTAAAGCTTTGTGCATATTAAATAAGTGCTCTAAAGCTAAGATACACCCTCAGTCCTCCCCATTAAAGTTTCTCTATGCTATTCCAGAGTATAATAATGATACAGTTAGGTGCTTACCATTGAGGAAGACAGTTCTGTAATAGTTGTAGTTACCAGATTTCATCAACCTAAATGAAAATAACCTTTATCATTGAAAATGATTTGGCAACTTCTTAGAGAAACACTCTGGGAAAGTATTTTAATTAATTTATTCATGAAAGCATTGTGAAACATTTCAAACAGATACACAAAATAGTATAATGAATTCCCATGTATCTATTACCTAGATTAAATAATCATGAACTAATGGCCCTTCTGTTTCTTTCCATCTTTTTTTTTTGAGACAATCAAATATTTTAGTGTATGGATCTAAAAGATTGGGATTGTAGCTTTATTTTAAAACTTATCCTTAGTGTCATTGTCACACCTAAAAATTCTTAATTTCTATGTTATATAGGAAGATATGGTAAGAGAACAGAAGATATACCTTAAATATTTGGTACAGCAACATGAAGAAGAAAAAGCTCAGGAGAGAGAATTGGACAGAATATTAGAGGAGGAAAAGCAAAAGAAGCTGGCTGAGAAAGACAAAGAGCTGAGACTTGAAAAAGAGGCAAGGAAACAACTCATGAATGAAGTCATGTGTACAAGAAAACTCCAAGTTCAAGAAAAGCGTAAGGAACTGAATTACAGATATCTTATTGTTTATCCTTACTTTGGTTTAAATAATAATAAAAATATTTAGGTATATGTATGATATATCTGGATTGATGCAAAAAATAAAGTAAGATCCTTTTGTTGAAGAAGGAATTGGTAAGTGACACACACAGACGTGGAATGGAAGTAAAATAGCAAAAAGTATATTTTGTCAACAAAAAGCCAATTGCACTAAAAGCAGTGCCAGTGATCAATTCCATACTGGGTTAAAGCTTCTTTTTTTATAGGATTTTACCGCCATCATTTCATTCAGATGGATACACTTCATTAACTTTTAACCCAGACATAGCAATTCTTTATATAGGGAGAGTTTCAGATGGATACACTTCATTAACTTTTAACCCAGACATAGCAATTCTTTATAGTTAGGGAGTTTACCTTTAGGATTCATCTAGCTATTTATTCTATCCCACAGGAAGTGGGTGTTCAGAGTCAGGAAAGCAAAGTTAGCAATTCTTCTCTTCATCTTGACACTTTACAATCGTGGTTTACAAAACATTGGAGCTCAGGGTCTTGATGTGCCCTGTTATTTCAGGATGAGGCCAAAAGTTCCATTCTACGGTTAATGCTTCTGGTGTCTGTTAATTTTGAACTAAACAAAGCGGATTGCTGTTATAGATAGCAGAAGTCATTCTACATTTTCCTAACATTTTGTAGGTTTTTAGATTATTTATCAAAGTTCTATCACTCTCTTTTGTAAACTTTATCTAGGTGGATATGAAGAATTTCATATTCCATCAGATTCTGAGCGGCACCAATGTAGATATTCTCAAAGTTAAAGAAAAATATATCATTTGAATTCTATGTACCATGGTGATTATAAAGAACAGGAGAAGGTGGGACACAGGCATACCTCTTCCTCCTCCCTTTTACCTTCCATTTTTTCTTTCTATCAGTATTTTTTTCCCTGTCTCCAAATCTTTGCTTAGCCAACATTTTATGCATATGGATGTTCTTGATCTTGAGAAATCCTAGGCATCCTTCAAGGTCAGTTTAAATATTTGTGTGTCTCCATTCAAAATGAATCCTTTTTCTAGGGCTTTCGCTGTGCCTTACTCACATCTCAGCTGACCAGCTGACCAGGAAATCTCTCTCTGGAGAACATTCTCAAAATTTGGCGAATTCTTCTTTTTTTTTTAATACCTGAATCCAGTTTATATGAGTTACTGTTTCTTTACTAAAGGAAGCTTGAGTTATTCTTACAAGGATGAGCTTTGTTTCAAGGTTTCTGAGAGTTACATCTGTGCATAGTTGGCCTTGTTTTATGGAACTGACTGGACCTAGTTGCATCATGCTACCAAGTGACATGTGATACTACACAACTATTGCCTCAGCCTCACCTTGGTCACAAAGTAATGTTTGTTGAGAGGTTTAGCTTCTACCTTCAGATTTCTGTCGCTTTCCCGAGATGAAAAATATAGACACATTTACTTTTAGGGTAACACTACACCTTATACAAGTATTCTTTGTAAAAGAAAACTAATCTTGATTATGTTGATTAATTCTCCACTCCAGGAATTATCACAGCAGTCAAAAATTGTTAAACTAGTATTAGATGAAATTCTCAGAAAATGAGGAGAGCATACAAACTAAAAAGATTTTTGTATTCATCAATGATAACTTGAAATTATTGGAAAATATGAAAATTTGAATGTTTTATATCATTTACAAACAACGAAACAAAATCAAACATAATTCCACCACCCAGGAATTTTCTATTCACAACTTTGAGTATTTCCACTATGTATGTAATTTTCCCTTTCAGATTTGGGAAATGTGGTTGGTTGCATGTATACCTTTGTGAATGCCCTTTGTTTCCTTTGTCTTATTTTCTATCGAGATGCCTACATCTATTACAATATATTGATTTTATAATCTCTCTTATTAATAAGAAAAACTGATCAAGAGGAAGTCAGTGTGGATTGTGCATATATTATCCTGAGCATATTCCTTACTCTCTGGATAGAACAGCTTCTTCCTTCTTGTTCCAAGGTCCAACCTAGTGATTCCAAGTTCCACCTTCCTAAAGACAGTGTGACTTTGGTGCCCAGAAAGATGTGAGCAGGTCTTGTCTGAAAAAGTTATTTACCAGATAATTTATTTTGCCTTTCTCAGTTCAAAGAAAAGCCAAAGAACAGGAAGAATGTGCTATGGAACAGGAACGAATAAATGAAGGTCTTAAAGAACTTAATCGTGAAGAGAAGGAGAATTTTTCAAGGTACAACTAGGTTGTATTTACCATTTTTATCCCCACAACTAGATTTTTAACATAGAGAACAATGTACCATAATTAATGCATCATTGACATTATTTTTATATTAGTCTTATACTTGTCCTGATAGAAGCTCTAAGCACTTTATAACATTTAATGTAAAAATAGGCATCAACCATGTTGGTAAAATTAAATTCCATTGCCATTATGTATATTCTGATTATATACATTAGTTATGAGCTTGTATGAGCATTTTTGTTTTGTTTTTTTGAAATAGGGCCTCCTGTGGTTCGGGCTGGCCTTGATCTTGTTATGTAGCCCAGGCTGGTCTTGAACTCACAGTGATCCTTTTGCCTTGTCCTGCTGAGTGCTGGGAGTATAGACATGTGCCACCATGCCCTGCTCAAAACTATATGAACACCTAAACAATAAATTTGAAGGGCTGGTGATTTAGCTGAGTGGGGCCACAGCCTGCATTGCAAGCACAGGGTCCTGATTTTGATCCCCTGTACCAAAAATAAATAAATTTGAAATAACACTCTTAAACTACTTAAGCTACTATGTTAGTTAGCTTTCTGTTACTATAAAAAATACCTGAGATCATGTACTTATCAGGGGAAGAGGTTTATTTTGACTCAATTTTGGAGGTATCAGGCCATAGTCAGTTGGCCCTTTTGCTCTTGGGCCTATGCTAAGATAGCACATCATGCAGGGGAGCACATGGTACTGCGTAAAGCTACTTACCTCTTGGCTGGAGCACACAGGAGAAGAGCAAGGTCTTGGGTGCCATTATCCCTCTCAAGGGCACACTATCAATGACTGGAAGGCCTCCTAGGCTTCTCCTCTTAAAGGTCCCACCCAATATCACCATGGACTGGCAACCAAGCCTTTAACACGTGGGCCTTTGGAGAACACATATCCAAGCTGTAACAAGCACAAGTCCTAAATCCTGATGAAATAAGATTTTCCCCATGAAATAAATTCTGTCCAATCAGCTAGATTAGCAGGAATGGTTTATAGAGACAGGATTCCACGCAAATATCCCCAGTAGACATTTTAGCTCTAAAATGCTAAAATATTCTAAGTGCTTTGGGACATACTTCTGACAAACCTCTGTGCTGGTGTTAACTAGTTTCTTTATAAGCACCACAATCAGGTCCAGGTGGAAAAAATGAGCAGATGCCTCCTTGCAGCTTTTCTTAGACCATAGCAGTACCTTCTCATGGAAATTCAGGTGGCCAGTGCAGAGTAAGAAAGCAAACTAGCTCACATAATTGATAAGGCCTATCCATGGGCCTGTCCCTTGACTCACTCACACTTTGTGCAGAGAAATAAGTTTTTGTTCTAGAAGAGTTTGATTTCTATGCCTAAGCCTATTGCTAGTTTGCTATAAACAGTATCTGGCCTACCCTGCAGATTTTCTGCCACTGTCTGTGCTCTGGAGATCTTTCTTTCTCATTTTTGAAAAGCCTATTTTAGGAGATTTGAGGGATACTAAAAAAAAAAAAAAATCTTTCTTCCCCACCCAGCTTCTGAGTCAACTAACTGGGAGATAAGTAAAAAGTATGGCCTAAAAGTATTATGGTTACAAATTGCTATTTTACAAAATACCCCCAAATTTGTGGTTTAAGTCAATTTATTGTTATCTTTTATGAGTCTGCAGGTTGATAAAGCTCAGCTGGGTGGTTTTTGCTTGGAGTATTTCATGTGGTTAAAATCAGATGTTAACTGAGGCTATATTTACATACAGTAATATCTTGGTTCACAAACCCTTCTGTTTGCAAACAATTCAGTTCTGAGCAAAAGCATTCAACAAAATTTTGCTTCCATTTACAAACTCCACATCAGGTGACAAACACAACCACAGCTATCTTCCCCCAAATCATAAAACAAATTTAGTTTGTGAACAAAGATATATTCAATAATTAATATATATCTTTTATATAGTATGTATACATGTGTATATCTTGTGTACAGTATAATCTAAATTTATATTCTATATTTATGAATATTCAATATACATATATAATCTGAAGGCTTGGACATCTAAGATACTTACTTGTATAGCTGGCGATTTATTCTACTGTATTATAATCAGGGATCCCACCTGCTGTTATCAACTGGAACCTCACCTACATGTGGTGGCCTCACCATCTGGTTTGGACCTACAGTATGGGGGCTTTTTCTGAGAGAGAACATTCCAGAAGCAAATGTTCTATGAGACAGAAGAGAAAACTGCAAGGCCAGTTGAGGGGTACACCTAGTGGTAGCATAGCTTCACTTCTGCCATATGCCAATTCCATATTCCATTGGTTATAAAGCAGTGCAAGGCCTGTCCAGATTCAAGAGGATGGAGAAAGAAGCTCTACCTCTTGCCAGAGGAGTGAAGATTCACATTGCAGAAAAGCAAATGGAAAAGGAGACAAGACTATGGTCTGCTTAGAAAATAGAATCTGCCACAGAGGGATACCCAAACCATTATCTTTATTTCTTATAAATGCTAATGGAGTGCTTTCGAACACCAACAATAGTCTTTTGATTGTCAAGACACCAACTGGATATTCAACAGCTCAGTTCAATTTCGACACTCACTATCCTGAGTTAGTGCAAACCCCACAGTCTAAGGGCTCAGCCCCGTTAGACTGTCGTCAGTTCAGACATCAGTCACAAGTCCCAGGCCACTTCTGACCAACTTGCTATATAAATCAAGGGTTCCCATAAACTTACCTTCAATTTCAATAGTTTTCTGGAGCTGCTCACAGAACTCAGAAACATATTTTAGTTATGTTTACCTGCTCATCATGAAGGATACAGGTGAGTAAGAGCCAAATGGAAGCAATGCATAGGGCTTGCCATTCCCTCTCTAGGCCTACACCCTTCCAACACCTTAATGTGCCCACCATCCCAGAAGCTTTCTAAACATCATTGCTCAAGAGTTTTTATAGAGCTCAGCCACCAATCCCCATCCTCTCCTCAAGAAAGTAGATGGGATCCAGGCATGATGGTGCATGCCACTTGGGAGGCTGAGGCAGGAGGATCGCTGTGAGTTTGAGACTAGCCTGGGCTACGTAATGAATTCCAGGTCAGTCTCAACTACATAGTGAGACCCTGTCTCAAACCCCCACCCCCCAAAAAAGTAGATGTAGATGGGGGCTTAGAGTTTCCACTCTTTAATTACTTGGACTTGACTTTCTGGTGACCAGCCTCATTATAAGGTTTTCTAGGGGGCTCACCCAAGTCCCTTTTAGAACAAACTGAGGTACCCTCAGGGATAACAAAAGAAACCCCTGTCCCTTGAGAAATTACAAGGGTTTTAGGAGCTCTATGTCAGGAACTGGAGACAAAAACCAAATATAATTCCTTTTATGCCAAAGCTAATATTAAAAATGTGATTTATAGATTGTAAAATGGTACAGCCTCTGTGGAAAACAGTATAGAGTTTCCTTCTAAAAAATTAAAAATGTAACTGCCACATGATCCAGAAATCTTACATTTGGAATTCCAAAATAATTGAAAGCAGGGTCTCAAAGAGATATTTGCACATCCAAATTCATAGTAGAACTGTTTACAATATCAAGATGGAAGTAACCCAGGTATCCATCAACAAATGAAAAGCTAAACAAGGTCTAGCATATATATGATTCTTGAGACCAGAGGATCTCTGAAATAAAAGTAGTTATTGAGGTATTATAGATGATAGCCAGAAAAAAGACCAGATCTTGGGTCTGACTTAAGGGGTCAGGATGGGATTGAAAGTTTTATCACTCAGGAAAATGTCAGAGTACTCTTGTTGGTTTGATTGACAGCTTTTAACTGTGTAACTTTTCTTATCTCTCCCCTCCACCATACTTGGCCCCTTGTGAATAAGTTTAGGACATCTCAAACATTTTTTTCTGCCTAGTACAATGGAATATTATGTACCCTTTAAAAGGAATAAAAGCTTTCATCTACATTCTGCAATGTAGATGAACCTTAAGGATACTATGCTAAGTGAAATAAGCTACTAATAAAAAGACAAATACCATATGATGTTACCTTTATGAGATATCTAATACATAGAAACATTAAGTAGAATGTGGTTATCGGACTGAGGGAAGAGGGGGAAGGGGAATTGGAGCTTAATGTATAGAGTTTCATATTTATAAGATAAAAACATTTTAGAGATCTCTCTTGCAACAGTATGAATACACATAATTACTGTACTGTATAGTTAAAATAGTTAAGGTGGTAAATATTGTTATGTGTTTTTTACTGCACTAAAAATCACATCATAAATTTTTAAGTGTGTTATATATGAAGTGTGATTTATATGTGCAAAAATTATCTAGTTAATACTGGATGGAATAGTAGAATGATCCACCACTTTTGAGCATTGCCAGATTTTTGCAGGGCTCCCCTGTGTAGATCCTAAGCAGAAAAGAACAGGCAGATCAGCTCCAGGAGGACAGAGGAAAAGCTAAAGTGGCATGACTGTGTAAATACATTATTTGTTTGCCATTCTCCCTGATTTTTTTTCCCCAGAATTGGGTATTGGACTCAGGGAGTGATGAAATACATCCTTAGCCCTTTTCAAATTTTATTTCAAAATAGAATCCCCTAATTTTCCCTGGCTGACCTTGAATTTACAATCCTTCTGCCTCAGCCTTGTAAGGAGCTGGGGTTACCAGCATGCCTGGCTTTCCAAACAATTCATTGTGAAAATTTTAGACTATAAGAACTTATTCTGATTTTACTGGGAATCTTAATTTAGTTTCACAAGTTATATCTTAATTGAAATGTTCTAAACAAATCCACATGCTTACTTTTATAATTGTATAATTTGACATTTCTAATGCTTTAGACGCTGTGGTCTAGCCCAAGAGTACAGGAAGCAACTTCAGATGCAAATAGCCCACCAGCAGCAAGCCCGAGAGGCAGAGAAGGAAGAGAAGCGCCGAGAATTTGAAGCAGGGATAGCAGCAAACCAGAGGTGCCTGGAAAAGATCCAGGAGATCCTATGCAGCCATTCTGTGCTCCCCCAGAACATCCATCCCATGCGGAGGGCTTGTCCTAATAAACTTCCACCATAGTAGCTTAAACATCAATGCATCTTTTCTTGGCCTTTTTTATTTTTAACTTGCTTGATGCTCCTTTTAACTCATGGATAAACTGTTCTTTTCTCAAAGTTTGTATAATTCATTATACATAATTTTCTTCTTTCTAATAAACTTGTTCTTTTTCTTAGATGTCATAAATTTACAAATCAGAATAGTCTATTTCATATCATAGCGTTGCAGAAGGAAGTGGTAAGTGATACACGGAGATGCAAAAGTGGGTAAAACAAAAATGTTTACTTTGCTAGCAAAGGGTCAGCCTGCACCAAGGGCTATGCCTGCCATATGATGGACCACGGGCTGGGTTACAATCTATCTTTTATAGGAGTTTTATAATCATGACCTCATTTTAGGTAGTTCGATGAGACATTCCAGTTCTCTCAGTTCCCATTACAGATGTACAGTCACGGTCACAGGACAGTTTAATTTTAATCCAAAGTAGCATCTCTTTGTGGTTAGGATGTTTATCTTTAGGATTCACCTAGTTAGCTATTCTAGTCCACAAGAGTGGGGGTGGGGGTCAGAGTTAGGAAAGCAGGACTGATGACATTCTTTTTATCTTAACTCTTTATAGTCATGCAATTTACAGAAAGCTTAGGGTTTAGGGTCTAAGTACACTTTGCTTGTAAGGTATGGTGATTGATATCTTAGTTTGAACATCTTGTCTCACCCTGGGAATGTGACTAAGTACTTCCAGCATCTGTTAATCTTACAACATTTTAAACTGGGGCTACATGCCTTCAAGCTTTTTAGTTAATGATAAAACCTTTGGTGGTGTTGCCCTAAGAAACAAGCAAAGCAAAACAAATTACAGAAGCAAAAAGACAGTGGTTATTCTATATTTCCTTAACATTTTGTAGGTTTCAGACTATTTACAGAAGTTCTCTTTATCAATAGTTTTCCTGACTTGCCTGTCTCCTCTTCTTATATACACTTACTAGTAACTACATTTTCTGATGTCTACCTATCCGTTTTACAGTTCCTCTTCCTCCCTTTTGTTTTTTGCTATATCTATAATTCAGTATCAGTGGGACACTTACACAGGCAAGATTGGGACTAATAGCCACTTTTCATGAACTCACAGATTCAGCTATTTGGTGAGTATTTATTGAGTCTCTCTAACATTTCTGGCATTATGGTAGACCTTGAGGCTTGTCAAGAGCGGGCTGTGCTCTGTCCTTAGTTACTCCATTTTATAAAAGAGCAGTTTGCCTTGAGTTATTCCATTTTGAGTGCAAATGCTAAGAACAAATAACTTCCCATCTTGTAGGTGCAATTAGACACCTACCAGATGTTGGACACGTAAAACTTACCAAGAAGAACAACCCCTAGTTCCACAGCACAATTAAAAGGTACAGTCTGATAAATAACTCATTCATGTTAATAAAAAATTACCATCTATGAACTACTGAATCAAACTGGGGACATATAGACACTTAGACTTATTAGACCATATCAAGGATACCAAGCCCATGAGCTTATCAAACAGACCAAAGAATGATGCAACCCTCTTATGAGAAACATCTAAAAGATTGCAAGCCAGCACTGCAAAATGGAAGTTTAAAAGTTCAATTCTTTCTTTTAAAGATAAGCAACTTCTCCAAACTTGCTCTTGCTGGGCACATAACCCTCTCCTCTCCTCAGTCCCAAAGAGGTGACAAAACATGCAGATACTGATGCCAGGAGGCCTGGAGCCCAGTTTCCTTTTCACAAGAAATGGAACAAAGGAAGTGATAAAGTGGGTTGGAGGTCTGTATTGTCTCTTCTCTCTGTGTTTCCCCCGCCTCTGTTCCTTACTATAAAAGACCCTCACCCACTTGCACACAGTGAGATGATGATTTGAGGCAAGTTGTTCCCCTCTCTCTCCTCAGAGATAGCTTTAAATAAATTCCTTTTCCTTTTTACCAAAATATGTGGCCTCCCTTGGTTTGATTTAGCAAGAAGCAAATAAATCAGAGCTATGTATCTAAGTGGCCAGTAACAATAGCAACACTGACTTATCACCTCCTCACGGACTACACATGAGAACCTCTGCTCAACAGGTTGCCATGGTAACACACTTCTGACTCTGATTCTGGAAATCAGTTCAGTGCAGGTTTCCTTATCCTTTGATGCTTCCCATTTCAAAAGCCATCCAGATTCTTTTACTTTGATAGATGTACACCTGGGTTCACTCACCCCTTATCTGACCTCCTGACTCTTGCATTTGTACAGTATTGACTCTTCACTCTTGCTTGCTCTCTGTACTGTTTCTATAAATCCTATGGCCATCTTGACCCTGTCTTAGCCTCCCTGTAACAGAATATTTGAATATTCACATTTGAAATGTGATATGCAATTTGAATGTCGTAGACATTAGTAATTAAGATTGGAGTGGGCCCTGGAGATGTGGCAAGGTGATAGAGCTCTTGCCTAGCATGTGAAAGGCCCTGAGTTTAATCCCCTGTACTGAAAAAAATAATAAATAGAACAAAGAAGTTGCAGTTGCCATGGTCACAGCTACCAGTTGAAGTTAGAAGTACTCCATGAAGTAAAGCTAATGAAAATGATGAGCTTGTGAATTTATTAAGAGTCAATAAATTCTGACATTGTGAGAAGACACAAATATGTCAGTCTATGTAAATGACATGGGTCACTCATGAAAAGACTTCAACAAAAGCTAAACAAGCCTCTTGCCCTTGCGGAGTTTACATTCTAGTGGAGGAAAATAGTCCATAACTGCTAAGTACTACAAAGAAGGAAATAAAAAGAATACTATTTTTATTTTATTTGTGATGATCAGAAAAGTCTTGTCTGACTTTGGAAGAGAGGTCTGAATGAACCAGCTATTGGAAAACAATTCCAGGCAGAAGAAAGAGCCTGTGCAAAGACACAGGCAGAAGCCTGTTTAGTGAAGCTGAGATATGTAATATTTGTGCTGAAGCAAAGTGAAAATAGAATGAAAGAAAATTTGTAAGTGGCAGGGGCCACACAATGGAATGCCTTGGGACCATGGCAAAATCTGACTTTTCCTTGGCTATCAGAAGCTGTTGTAAGGCTTTCCGCAGGTGAGCAACATGATATGATAATAAACTGCTGGCTGCTGTGTTGAAAATAAACATCAGAGAGACAGAAACAGTCAAGAAGCTGATGGTAAAAATCAGATGGGATGCAACAGGGAAGAAGCCAGTACAAGATGATTCCTAAGCATCTTTTCCTTTTGTATTCATGCCTATTACACTAAGACCAAGAGTGCTCTGATTTAGATCTAAAATGGTCCCCCAAAGTGTCATGTGTTCAGATGTGGGGCTTTCAGATTGTGATTAGATCATGGAGGACATATACTCATCAGTGGATTCATCCAGTGGTTGGAGGAGGTAGGTTACTAGGAGCTGACCCATAAGAGTTTATTCTTGTCCCCTGGTTCCTCCTCTACTCTTTGGATACCAAAGGTTAATCAGCTTTCCTCTGACATTTCCTTCTATCATGCCATGGAGCAGCTAACCATGGATTGAACTCACTGGAAACTGGAAGCCAAATAAACCTCTTTTCCTTTAAGACTATATATTTTGTATTTTGTTCCAGTGATGGGAATGTGAAAAGATGTAACTTACAAGTCTAGGTCACATAAGACAGAGCAGTTTCTGTCTCAGTCTCTTGGATTATTCCCTCAGGGGAAAGCTGTCAGCCCCTAACACTGGTAAGGGTAGGGATTACACTGGATTACACTGGTAATTCTTAGGGAGCCCTCTGGAGAGGCTAACTGTGCATTGTACATTTCAGCCATGTGCCTGAGTGACCTCAGACAAAGATCCTTTAACTCCAGCATCAGATAGGCATCCAGGTGTCCCTAGCCTTGGCCACATCTTGACTGCAATTTTCTGAAAGACACTGAACTGGAACTCTTCCACCAAACTGCTCCAGTTCCTGACTCACAGAGACTGTGAGAGACAACCTATGCTTTTGTGGGTTATTTTATTTTATTTTTTATTTATAAATTTTTATTAGTATGTGTTTACAGTACATAATGATTACATTAATCATGGGGAATTGGTCCATGTACATGATACATCTTAATTCTTTTTATTACCCCTTCCCTTCCCCTATTGTGGTTTTAAACCACTAAGTTTTGAGGTGTTTTGTTAGATAGCAAAAAGGAGCTAATACAACGTGGTGCCTCAGGCACTGAGATGGTCAGATTTAGACTATATTTTGAAATTAGATCCAGCTAGATTTGCTGACAAATGTGCATGTTGAATGTGGGGTTTGAAATTCAAATATGACCTCATACTTTGGTCAGAGCAACAGAACAATAAACTGCCCTTGTGAAAAAGTTAACTTATCTGTCAAGCTACAAATCTGGAGGTGTCCTTAACCAAATAAACTTGAAGAATTTAGGAAATTACTGGATAACTCAGGTCAGTGATCTATCTGGAATTTTGCAAAGTATTTTGCCTTTATCAAAGAATTTTTCTGGTATATCAGTTTTTGTGAGAAACAATTTGGAAAGACTGTGGACCAGCCTCCATTCCTGGAGAGTCATTAGGAACACAGAAGTATCAAAAGATTCTGGGGAGCCCTAAGTGAACTAAATCCAGAGCTACCTTTGTTTAATCTTCAATCTCACTGGATCACATCTATTAAAATAAAATTGTGTTTCTGAAGTGTTCTTTCCCTTGCATGTTCACATAACTTACTACATCATTCCTATAGGGTATTCAAAAAACTTCCTATAGAATATTTCTTTCTAAATAAAGCAGTACTTTATTTCTAGTAGCTCTTTCCAATGCTTTAATGTAAAATTTTTGGACAAATTTGTTCATTAGATTAAAGTTTAAGAGCTTTATTTAGGTAATTCAAGCACCAGTGATTTTTAAGTTATTTCAGAGAGCTTTGCAACCATCACTCCAATCCAGTCTTAGAATACTTCTGTCAACTCAGATAACAGAAATAAATGATTCATAACTTTTAACTTGCTTACTGTTTTGAGTAGCATGATAAAATGCTTCTTGCTTAGGACATGAATCAGCCCTTTGTCCAGTGCATCCACACTGTATATGCTA